GATTGAAATAAAATAATTTACCTTTGGTCTGTAAATAATGGGAAGTATGAAGAAGTTATTCCAGCTGAAAATACTGTTAAAAGGGCAGAGGGGGTATAAAATCAAAGTTCAGTGAAAGTAGTATATACCAGGATAAGATGGAAATTGAAAATAGGCTACTTTGCAATGATTAACACAATAACATAATGAGAACCACAGATCACTGTCAAATCTTCATTTGCATCATGACTGTAAGTTTGATTCCTCAAAGTAAAGTGATAGTCATTGCCAGAAAAGTTTCCATGTTGAGTTTCTATATCTACAGAAGAACTTGGCAACACTGCACTCACTTTCCATTTAACAGCTACTCCACCCAACATAATTTGGGAAAGTTGTGCCTATGCAAATATTCCAGACAGCACAGATCTTTTCTAGCTGAAAGAGATGGAACTCCCAGCAAAGCTGTAGATATAGAAATTTAGTCTGAAAAATGTCTAGAGCATTCACTTCAAACTTCAGACCCATTTAACATTGTATACCACTTCCCATTAAAAGACACTTAAGAGTGTGTTTCACCATTAAAAATTACAATTACAGCAAGTTAAATATTAAAACAGCAAAAAAAAAAGTCAAATGTTACAGCAGCATAATTAAAAGATTTGTGAGTATAAAACTGTTTTTTCCTGACACCATAAAGACAATAAGCATGATGCTAGGTATGCATGACTCATTTCAAAATTGGGATGGAGGGGCTATCACTGAAGAGACCCACTTCCTGCCTTTTTCTATATCCATTTGCTGCACCTCAGCATGAGTATCCAGACCAGGCTTTCTGAAGATGACTTAGGGAACAGGTAGGATAAGTGTGAGTTCACATAGCTGTTGAACATCATGAGGGATAAAATGGAATGCCACAACAGAACAATAGATAATTATTACAGCCTTGGCTGAGAAAGCTTTAATAGCAGGTTCAACTAGCTGGCTACTCTTATCTGAGGATTTGTTCTGCTAACCATTAACTTAGTAGCAGCAAGATGGATTTTTCAAGATAGATTTACATTAAAGTTCAAGCCCAGTTCTTAAAATACTAGATTTGTTCCAGTGAATTGCTATCTAGTGACCATTTTAATTTTAATACTGTTTTCCTAAATATTTTAGGAAACAAAATTAGTCAACATTCACAGGAATCTTATGCTATTTTAAAAAGAAATTCACCGGAATCTTACACTACTTTTAAATATCAAGATATTTAAAATATATGGTCTTGATCCATGTCCTTCCTGGTTCCTTTGTAGGACTGGGAGATATAAAGAGGTGGATCTGGGAGGTGGACAATGCCTGACTTTGGAAAGGGACAATGCTGGAAATCTTGAAGAAAGCTATGGTGTACCCCTTCCTAATAGGTTTATAGGGGACTCATATAGTCTATCTATCTATCTATCTATCTATCTATCTATCTATCTATCTATGAATGAATGAATGAATGAATGAATGAATGAATGAATGAATGAATGAATGAAGTGGATTACCTAGATCTCTTTCAATCCAACTTCAGTCTGGCACGGGATAAAGATGCCATTGGTCACTCTGGTGGATAACTTTTGTAGGAACCTTGATGGTAGTATGGCACTTCCTTTTAGTGGCTTTTTATGTCATTGACTATAGTATTCTGGACTAGTCCTAGAGACTGAGATGGAAAGAAGGAATCATTCTTCAGTGGTTCCCCTCCTACCTCAGGACACAGTTCCAATCCATAGTGATGGAGGAGGAGAGGTCAACCTGGTGGCTATTTCCATATGTGTGCTGCAAAGTTTGATTCTTCCCTCCTCTTGCTATTTAATATCTATATGAAGCAATTTTGTCAGGTTCAGCCCAAAGAACTCCACGAGACAGTGCAGATACAGTTCTGTTGCATTTATTAGCTCCCCC